CAATTCAGTTGAGAACTGACGATATCGTGCTTAATGGTTGAACTTTTGAGGAAAGAAGAGGAAGGGGGAGGGGTCTTCGAGGCGTATAGCCCGTTCGACTTTTGTGGCCAGAACAAAACTCCTTACGTACTTGTTGGAACAAACTCTACCTCTACTTTTTAATCAGCAGTGTTCCTGCTGAGCAAGTCCTTAACCACCTTTCAGAATTGCCTTCTAAATCATCTACCCTCACTTTGTTATAATACGACATGTGTAGCGAAAGGAATTTACCAGGAAAGACTCCTTTACTTCGAGTACCTACCCAGTTCAAAGTTCACCACAAATGACGAGGATGTAATGGATCGTTGGACTTCATACCATTGACTTCCCATCAGTGAATGTCACCGTATAAGCTGGTTGGGTTCCAGCTTCATACTGCTCCTTATGGTAACTGAACGACAGGAATTCTCAAAAAGTGCTCAGGAAAGGAACGAACTTCTGACCATGAGATCAGTCAACATACATATTTGCCGAATCTTACCACCAGTATTCCCTTTTCCATCGTTTTCGTCCTGTTTCCATCAACGATGAAACAAGGGATGTACCACTCATTTCACTGAAACAAATGAGCACAGCTGCCAAAGTTATTTATTGCGGTGGTATCGTGATAGTAAACAACCTATTGACTGTACAGCTCACCTCTCCATCCACAAGATATAGTGATAGCGAAAACAGTAAAACCTAGATGATTTTCGCATCAGTTAACGAGGGGAGGGAGGCTTCTACTCTAAAGTAAACCAGTTTTTTGAGGCCTCAGACATGCAAAAGTCAAAAAACCCGTTTATTCAAACATGATCAAATAGTAACCGGAAGGCATTTAACCGGAAGGCATTTACCCAACAAACATTTGCTGAAACATAACAATTCATGAAAATAATTTAAATTCTAGAAATACTTGCATAGTTCCCATTCCTTCCTATTTTGAAGATAAATTAGTTGATCTTCGCCTCCTTCAGAGGGCTTGAAGCTGATTCGAACACTGCCTTTGTTTCGGTGAATCTGATTATTCATTGGAATTACTCAACGCAGCTTTACTACAGAATAAATGGCTAATCACAAGTTGTAATGGAGCCATCGGTGTTACTTCACAGCAAGAAAGTAGTACATGACCAAAAAACGGGCAGTTAGTCGGAAACATAGCCGCTCGAATTCGCCGTTCTCGCAGACGGCATTTCGTTTTCAGGAAATGCACTTCCTTCGAAACATTGGCATACTAAATATCTTCTCGCAGGAATTTCCACCCCGGATTTGTCCCTATAGGAAATAGTCTGGGAGAACTGTGCATCACGCTCGAAGTGCACCATGCTCGTAGGGAGGCATTTTCGAACAGACGAACCGGACCTTATGGCCCACTCTCTACGAGATCTCACGTAAGTCCACTGAAACCATAAACCAACTATAGGGTACTAGCCTAGTTGCAAGAACCCTTCAGAGGAAACTACGAACGAAGATGGCAAAGTACATGTGGCGGCCCTTAGCAGTAAGAACTTCACACCTTTCTAAATTTCAATGTGTGACTTTAGGTCAGACCGCGACTTACTCAGGTTGGTCTGTAACTCTTGAAGATATGCAAAGTTGCTTGATCCGCGGTTCCTTACTCTACCCAGCCCCTCTACTCTCACCTACGCTAAATTTCCGTGATATCCCAGAAGCTCGGGTCAGCTGACGGAACAGCATGCTGAACAACAATACCTATTACTTTGTACTCTCAACATTTCCTGACTGGTCTTCCCGGATGGCATCCTCCGTTGAGGCCATCATGAAAGTTCCCAAGCGCTCCGGAATATCCTGCTGCATAAGGCCTGGAATAGCACCCCATAGTTGTTGACGGTTTCTATGGTTACGAATCTTGTGCGCAGCTATAAACCATATCCAACTTTATTTACACAAATACTTGGGAACCGGGATTCCTTGAGGTCATTAGGGCACTGCCACTGTCTATTCGGTCCCACTTGGATCACTTGTAGGGTCTTACAGAGAAAACGTGGGTAGCAGTGGCTACCAAGCCACGATGTGACTTATGTCAAGTGCATCAAGCCAGCTGCATGCGAATAGTCCCCGAATCCCACTCCCACCCCTGTCCAACCTCTCACCCTTCCTGCGTACAGACCCGTAGTGGGCGGGGCCACGATGGCGGTGCCTGCGCACGCGGCGGCGGCGTCCCTGCGACGAACGATGCTATCTTCCCATAGCGTTTTCTGGCGATGGCGCGTGCCCACGTTGATTTCTGCGTTTCTGGGCGTTCATTGAGCAACGGGGACATGTCGGCTTTGATTTGATTTGTTGTAATAATAGCGTTCAGTTCTTTCAGTCCATACTTAACGTTGCCCTCATTCGTCGTTGTTTTTTTCGTTGTCGCCGGATACGTACAGTTCAATTGCCTCTCAATATATTAACCGAAAGGATTTGTCACCAGAATTTCTATTTATATTATCAGTTTTTCTTTCTTATTTATTATTACTGCTGTTTCCAATTTTTGTATGGTATAAAATCCCTCCCATATTTACATATATGCAGATGTGGGTGCTATCAGAATACTTAGCTTTTTTTGGATTTCAAAAATGACCAGGAGAGTCTGGAAGTGGAGTTAAAATATTTTTTGCGAACTCAATATTTAAAGATTATCATTGCCATTGGATTTTTCACATTTTAGCTCATTAGGAATTGTTTGTTCATGAAGCTGTTGTTGCCAATGCACACTGCAAGTGGGTAAATAATGACTACGCTTTGAAATAGTACAGGAACAAAAACCCATCAGGTCCAGGAACGTTTAAACAGAACCTTTTGAACAAATATATAGTAAGAGTAACTAAAATCACTTCATAATTACACAATTCTGAGCTAAGTTTTGATGTTTTTCCCATAAGTTCTTTTACAATGCTAATTAAAGCCTCTAGAAAATTTGACAAAGAAATATTATCACACTTCCGTTCAAAGCACTTTTTCCGTCTACTGTAGTGTACAAAAACAAGCCGATAAAGATAACGGCCATTGTTTTGTTTTTGTTTTTCTAATGGCGCTCGGATTGTTCTGTTGCTAATAAAACAATGGCTAAAAGGGTGTCATTCTTCAGTAAGTAAAAGTTTTTAATGGATTTGAGGAACATTTTCATATCATTCTTTCCTCCTAGCCGATTTGAAATTTTCAATGAGGCAAGAATTTTGCCTGATTTTGCTTTAAAATCAAAGTTTAAGGTTTAATTACGTGAGGTTTACCCCGGAGACATTTTTATCACCCATTTATTTCATGTTTTAATTGTCTTCCATGGCTCTCAATACATCGAGATGTTTTTTTCCTTTCTAAATCTTACCTTGTGTTTAAAACTCTTTTCGAACCTCTTTTAGTCAAAGTTCGAAACATACTTAATTTGTTACCCCCTCCCTTGTAAATAATGCGGAGGGCGGAACTTCCGAATGATCATTCTTACTGCAACATTCTGCATGGGTAATTTATTGCCATGTCATTAAACATGCAACTTCGCAGAAATAAGTTTTTCCAGAAGCGTCTGCTTGAGGAGAGTTTCGTGAAAAACGGTAGAACCGATGTAGAATTAGCTGTAATGACCGTCTACTCGGGTTGATCAACTTTTGACTGTTTTGTTACCCAAGTGTCACCTACTATCCATGGGTAAGAGCTCAGGGTACGAAATTTTCGCGTTATTCTAATTACTTCATTGTTTAGCTGTATGTAACTAAAAATAGCTCATATTGATTACCTTCAAATGTTTGCAAATATGTGTTCCTTGAGTATTCGCCATGAGTTCTAAGCCGACTTCTGCTTCTTTTTCTACTTGTCATGGCTATTTTTACTCTTTGACCTGAGTGTAATCGAGAGACAAATTGGCGTGCTGCGTAGTGCACCTGTTCATGTCTCACGTTTCATGGTTACTGCTTGTGTTGTGTTACACTGATGTCCGCAACATGCAATTAGATAACTTTCATTCTATATAGTACATTTTAAGTACGCGTTAATGAGAATACCCTCTTTTTCAATAGTTGGTGAAGTCACTCTTTGTTCAGTTGCGAAGCACCATTTCAACCCCTTCATAAACACACATCGGGTGGCGGTCCACCCTTGGTAATTGATGCCCATATTTCGAACACTGTCATTCTAGAACCGACTAGGGCTCTGCATTGGGAGAAAGTACTCTGATGAAGTCATACTTCAGAAAGTTTCTAGGATATTTGGGCTGATTTTGGTCAGCTGGGAAGAAATGTATTGAAATGAATGGTTAAAATGGAGAGTTGGCGGCTTGGAAATTCATCAGAGATGCTGACATCTCTCCTGACCATGTTTTAGGCATCTATCACGATCGCGCAATTCGGTGACAGAAATGAAACTACTACTTTCTTCGATCTCTTCTTCAGGAATCAATGGCCTGAATCTGTTCTCGTTTCGCAGAAATTAAAGGCTCAAGTTTTTCTCGACTTAACTATTGCTTTTGTTTTTAATGTTCGTACCAGTTCTTGTTGACGAGTAAGTGCTCGTTTTGTGGTTGAATTCGTTCTCGACAACCAACCTTAGCCGTTCGTTGTGCCGTCGGTATCTGTCGTGGCTATGGCCCAATAACCTTCTATCTCGGCCCACCAATTACTGTGCACACAGCCATCTTCAGATCGCTATCTCACAGTCGCATTAATCAACAAGTATCTTCGAGTCATTCATTCGAACATCTCGTTTACACCTCTGCTTTCCCGCTATTCCAACATCTAAGCCGATGCAATGAGCACTCACCAACGCGATGGATCCTTGCTACGGAAAAAGCAGGATCAATGGGCGCGTGAACGAGGTTTGATTTATTGACAATGTCGATTCTCATTTGCTTTCGTTATGCATCACGATTTTATTGCATTTGTTTAACAGTTGTTGTCCTTGTCAAAATTAATTGTTCGGTAGTTCGGTATGTATGAGGATTCTCCTTAAGCGGAAGAAGCTGAAAATACCTGGTTCCCGTTCGGTTCACCTGGTGGTGGAAATCCAAATCGCAAGCATGAGTCCATAGACTATTCATCACCACATGCAAAAACTCAGGTGCAGCAACATCAGGACCAGTCATTATCACAGGTCAAGACATCTTTTATGACTGTTTTGTTTTTCCCATAACTTTTATTTATCGGAAGAGTTTTTTTGATTTTCGCGTGACAATTCATTGTAGCGGCCCATTTTATTGAGCACAAAAAATTCGTTCTTCTCAAGCTCATTCGCGCAGCGTTTGCGTTGAATGCCGTCTTTTTTATCGGCATTCATGCCGTCTAAACCTCGACTTATCTATCAAGGAGTAGAATACAGCGCAGGTCGCTGGTAATGCTTTGCTGTCCTTGCTCTCTAAGCCTTACGAAGCTATGAATACAATTGAACTGGAACCTGTTTTGATGAAAGAAAGCTTTTTCCCAATTCCAATGTGTTTGCCAGACAAATTTACCATAACTCATACAATAATTCCAATTTGTATAAGACGAGTTCTTGGTGAAGGACTGGTAACCGTGAAATATTAATGACTTCTCAAATGTCGAATTGCTACAAAATGATTGATTTGTGGGATTGACGAAATCACATTTGATGGATTCAATCTTGTAATGATAATCTGCAGCCCTTAAAAGTTAGTCTTTTCTCAGCATTTCTAAGGGAGTTCCTGTTGCTGGATCCTGAGTGTCAGGCCACAAATCCTTCGATACGCTTAGTGGGACCGGGTTTCGGGACAAGTTTCTGTGATTGCTCTTCTCCCACAAATCTTCATTTCTTTTAACTCTTAATGAGTAAGTGCTGCCCTTTTATTCGACAGATGTATATTAATTTTCCTAGCTCCTAGAGAAGGAGGATATATGTGATAGAAGTCCTAAGATGAGCTAATCCCTCAGCTAGGCTAGAAATAGAGCGTTTTTGTTTTCTCCTGGCGAGCGTTCTGTCAATTATACAGTTATTAATGATTAATTGATGCGCATCTATTGTGTCACATGTGTTCCGTTCTCTTTGTGTTGTCTGCACGTTCTGCACGCTCAACTTGACCAGCTCGGTTTTGTTAGAGACAGACGTGGTCTGCTCTCTCCCACTTCACTCATCAAGCCTTTGAAGAACAGGGAAACGTTGCGTGATCCCTCATTAGACACGCAGGTGCAAGCATGGTGTGCCGGTTTTTTATGCGAACAGCTGCGAACAAATGTGGGCATAACGTCTAATGATGAATTCGGAATGAGATGGACCTCTCTTTTAGGGTTTATAACGGTCTTTAAATTGTGGCCAACGGTTTATGGTCTATATATCTTCCCTTTTCTATTTGTTTATCTTTCAGAAGATCTGCTAGTGAATCAGCGATTTTGTTTTCCTTTGGCTTTCTCATTCTTGAAAGTCTTTTAAATCGTTTATCTTTCGTCAAGATCATCGCGTGATCTGTCTGTCATGCCTATTAATTATTGTCCAGCTATTGCGATTATTACCAAGCTGTCCTATATGCTTTTCTGTGGTTAATTGCTTTTTCGAGCTGAATATCAATAGCCTTAAGGGGACATGAGGGGAAGCAAATCATGAACATGGGATTTACCAAGATAGTGGAGGCGAAGGGTGAGGGCGAAAGGAACTGGGTGTAGGGGATTGTTGTTCATTGAGAAAAAAAGTTACTGAAGACCTCTGGCCAGTTCAAAGTTTCTAACAGAGGTTAAGCTCAAAGTTTTTTGAGGATCATCAAACCCGATTTGGGTTGCGCCAATCGACTACCATTCAAAATCGGGCGGCGTTCGAGTAAGTATTCAAATTCTAGTAGGAAAGCCGATGATGAACTTTCATGCATCCTTGGATGCTTAAGGTCTCATCCAGTTCATTCATCGACTAGTTTGCTTCGATTGCTTGCTAGAAAAGATTTCCCTACTCTGTGTATAAAGAAGTCTATCGACATAAGTATTACAAAAGGTGAGATTGAGGAGGTACGGGAAGTGGGGTGGGGATTTGAAGAAAAAGTCGCCAGACGCAATTTGTTATTCGACAGTGGCCATCCATTCATTCACTATTGAGCATCTGGTAGTTGCGATTGGTTTTTCTGAGCATTAGTTGCGACGTCGAGTTACGCAATTGTTTGTTCACGTAGTTCCCTGCATGGATACTTCAAGTGAATCTTGTAGACCAAAGTATGAGGTGATATCGACAGATATAAGGTTTTGAGAAGTTGTAATACTGGAAATAGAAGATCCGATAGCATATGTAAAAAGGTCTACTGCAAGATGTTCCACAGCTGACACTCTTTACTTTATTACTTTTTTATCACTTTCTATTACTACTGTTTACTTTACTAAATTACTTTTTTGAATTCACAAAACACTCATTCTTTCTTGACTGACATTAGATCGAGTTCTTGGATGCTCGTAACACTGAACAGAGCGTACGCGTATTGAACTACCTAAAAACAAATTGATCCAAACTCGATTGTTGAAAGGTTTTCTTTTCTTCTAGTGTCATTGCAATATCCAGAAACATTTCCAACATTTCCACTCTTTGTTGTCAGAACGTTTTCTTTGTTTGAGTAAAGGACATTCATCGATGTGACCTGGACGATTTTCCCACCATTCTTCTGTTTTTGGTGAGAATGTCGAATTCAGAAAGGTGTCTGTAACCATTTTGGCAGTTTTCGCTTTCAGCTAGAGCATGACTTGGCCAGAGCTTATTCACGTTGTGGGTTGTTTTCCAACTGCTTAGCAATTTTTAGCTGAGATGCCATTTGTTTGCTTGTATTGCGTTCTTATCGCCGTCATGGGGTCGTGATAGCGATGCTGAACTGCGGTTGCGCAAAGTGATGGAATGCTTTATTGGCTTTTGAAGGGTTCACCTGGCATGAAGTGGTTTATGTACCCAGAAAAGGTGTCAATGGTTTCGTGCCTTGTGTTTTAGTGTCCAGTCTGCTCTTTCAGTGGGTTGATAGTTGGGAGGAGCACGCGCTTATACTTTCAGGACCTTAACACAGTACACCTCAAGGTTAAGGATACCTCTTCCCATCGAAAACTCTTTGGTGAAATGAATACGGACACTTACCAAGGGTGCAAACAATAGCGGTGAAACATCATGCATGGTCTAAAGTAGGGCGTGGCTGTTTGGAACACTCACTTTAACGGCCTTTTCTTCGTGCGAACATGAAATCATGAATTTACATATCATCCTATGGGAGAACCGATCTGTAGCGC